CCTCAGCAACTTAGCAAATAAAATTAAAAAAAAAAAAAAAAGAAGAGGGCTGAGGATGTGGTTCCATGGTAGACCACTTGCCTAGTATGCATGAGGATATGAGTTCAATTCCTAGTACAAAACCTAAACTATATATCTACTTTCTATAAAGTTTCATTTTCACATCATTTCCTCTGGCTGTACATTTTTAATCAGTGTTAATGAACATCAGCTCTTTGCTATAGACACTTCTATATGTTGTTTTATCTAGTGTAGAATACATGGCTTTTTAAAATTTAACCAAGAATGTTGGAGAAATAGAAAGGACATGAAGAGAGCTAATAATGATCATGTCATGTCATTTTGTTCCTGTATAGTAACTGCTGAATGCTTCCTATAAATGTAAGAGAGAAAGAGATCTCAAAAAATAAGTATATAGAGACATAGGGCTATCATTTGCATAGATTTCCTCATAGGAAGTTAGAAGATAATTTTAGCCAAGAGTAGTGAAAAATTTAAATAAATAGGAAATGTGGTCTCTATCTCTTTCCTTCATTCTACTGAGTTTGTTATTAGCGCCCTGCATATGTAGGAAAGTTTGCAAATTTGGGGAGTACCTAAAAGTTCAAATAATGCAATGTTTTAATCTCTTTATTAGCATGGTATATACTATATTTAAATGTCTTCATTGTTATGACCCAAATAGATATGTCAAACTAAGTTCCTAAGTGTCACTCACTGGTTTTACTTCCATTTTTAACCTACTTCCATTTATTTTCATATCTGAGCTGCCATGAATACTTTTTGGCAAATGAGATGAGTGATAACTCATTTAGAAAGGGACATCTCTTGGTGAAACTGAACGTTAGGAACCATCAGCCAAACATTTCAAAAGGACTGCTATTCTTCCCTATCATCTAAGATATTTTAACAACATCTAAATCTCTCACTGGCCTAAGAGTTGCCGTTAAGTAATACTTCCCATGTATCTCCTAGGGGCAGACTTCTGCAGTGTGGGGATGACAAGCTATGGCCCGCCTTAACAGCAGTCTTCCCCAGCGCTTTGTTTCTAAGCTGACAGTGACAGTGTAATCACATTTTATTGTCGTTCATAGTTCCAGTCAAGGGGTTTTAGAAGCACACTAGAGCCGCCGGGAGAGCAGGGAGAGCACTTGTGTAGCATAAGTGAAGCCTTTGCTTCTATCCCCAGCAACACACAGATATGTATTTTCAAAAAGTAAAATTAACGACATTCTCTTGAAAATTGTCTGAAGTTTGTAGTGTTGTGTGAGTACGTAAAGATTTTGAGTTAAACTTGAAAAATATACATTTCCTTTTAAATTGGAATGGAAAGTTATCTGTCCCACAGGGCTGAAATCCTGATCATATGCTAAGTAAAGGCTTTTTTCAATTCATCTCTTGAGTTTGGGAGTCATGACTGTTAGTCACTACAAGTCCTGAGCATGGGTAAAGCTGGGTAGTGTTAGCTTCTGACTTGAACATTTATCAGACCAAGGTTCTCATGGATGCTTTTACATAGAATGACTAATTTGGGTTGCTTTTAACTTTCCAAAACTTTAGATCATAGTGATAGTTGACAATAAAATAAAATCATTTGGGAAAAACGCCATGTTTTGGAAATTGTGGGGAGCAAACAACTATACAGCTTTATATAATAAAAATAAAGACTTTATTTTTTCTTATTTCTTCAATGTAGCAATTATTATACAAATAAAAAGCCTAAAGAAGATCTTCGTTTAGAAACACAAGAAGCCTATTCGGTTGATCCATACAATCCAGCAAGCTGATCTGAAGGCAAACTGGTAGGAAATTGAAAATTCTTACTAACTTACATGTCAAGATTGCCTTTCATTTTTAGCACTAAGCATAGCATTAAGTATTTATGGTTTTGACTGTCACACTTGTCTTACCAACATTAATATACCTGCTTTATCTTAACAACTTAGGCTCCTGCTTTTCTTTATTCTATATTCATCCATTCAACAAATATACTAAATAGCAAAATGGTTAAGAAACAATAAGAATATAAAGAGAATAAAAGTAGGCACCAGGGATAACAAGACCAGGGTGGTGGCAAGGGAAGAGTCCTCTCCTGGAAAGCACGAGTCGAACAGCCACGCGGCTGCCTGGACAAAAAGCCCTCCAGGAGAGAGGGGTGGTAAGGATAAAGGCAAGGATAAAGCAGGGTGCCCCGTGTGGTCTACAGCCAGCCGAGCAAGGGCTTGTGAGAGGATAACGGTACCATTGTGAGTTTGTGCTCTGAGATGGGAGCCGCTGGAGTTTGCATAAACGAACTACATAATCACCTTAACTGCTGTGTTAGGAAGGAAAAAGAGAGACTATAGAAAGCCAGCAGGGAAGAAGATGGTCAGCGGTGAAGAGGCTATTGCGATAACCCAGGCAAGAAACTGAGTGGGTGCCATCAGGCTTGAGGCAAGAGGGCAAAGTCTGCGTGTGCTTTCAAGTTGCTGACAGTCTCAGAATATGAGACAGAGCGGTGGCAACAGTGACAGTTTTTGGCCTAGGACCTGAAAGGATAGAACTACTGTTAAATGAGGAGTGAAGAGCTAAGTCGGGGAGAGAAGTTAGGAGTTCCACTCCGAAGCTGCCAAGTGTGAATGCCTCGCACAGGGCCAAGGGCAAGTGCCTGGGAGGCAGCTGACACAGTGTGGACTTCAAGCGGTAGTCAGAGTCTGGATTTACCTCACGGTGAGGCTGCCTGTGGTAGTGAAAGAGGCTGGGAGAGAGGAAAAGTCCAGTGGAGGGAGAAGGGGCCCACAAAGGATCAAAGAAGCTACTCTGTGAGGGAGAAAAGCCCCACGGTGCCGTGCTCTAGAGTGAGGCACAGAAAGGTCTGGGAGAGGGGAGTGACCACATCTGTGCAGTGATGTTTTAGCTTAAAAGGATGGATATGAAAACTGACCATTGGACTTAGCAGTCCAAGATTTGTCAGTGAACTTGAGTTCTGGTGGAAAGTAAGGAGGTGGAAGCCGGACTAGCATGAGCTTGACAGAGAATGAAAGGAATGAAGTCACAGATAGCAAAGACAGACAGCTCTCCCTGGGCATTTTCCTATATTGGTGACCAGATGAAAAGAGCGACTGCAAGAGGTAGAAGCAAGGGTAAGAAGACGCAAGGGAAATATTTTTTAAGAATGGCAGCCTGGTCCCTTCATGCAGCTGAGAACGATGTAGGAGGAGCAGAAAAGCGAGGCAGGAAAGGGGGCAGAATTATGCAGCCACATCTGGGCGAACTAAGGGAAGGAGATCCTGCTGCTTGGGCAGAGGAGTTGGCCTGAGACAGAAGAACAGAAAGAAAGGTAGAATAGCCAGGAGCGGACGAAGGCAGGTGGGAGGTGTGATGGTGGACGAGCACGTCTTGTTCTGTTTCCTCAGTGTAGAAGGTCAATTAATCTGCTGGGGATAAGACTGGGAGATATGGCAGAGGTTAAGGATCAAGCGGGAGGCCTTAAGCGGCGAATTGAAAGTCGAAGGCTGAATGACAGGTGGTGCAGAAACGTTACCAGGGATCTGGCTCAGTGGTTCCACTGCCTGCCTCGCAAGCGCAAGGGCCCGAGTTTGATCCCTGGTACCAAAAAACCCAAAAGAACAAAACAAATGTCGACACACATCATGAAGGGTCCATTCGAGTGTCCCAGGAGAAAATGGGGTGAACAATGGAAGGTTTCCTCTCCCCAGACCTTATGGTGAGGGGCTTTGTGCTTTGTCTCATCAGCACTCACTACTACTTTGAAAGATGGGTATCATCCCCAGATCCCGCCAGGCTAAAACGTTAAACAAATGAGAAAACCAAGGCAGAAAGTCTCCTTGCCAAGGTCAGGAACCCCAGCTTCACTGTGACTTCAGACTGCTTCCTCTTGTGTAATCTGCAAGATATAAAATAAAGAGACCACCGCTACCCACGTAGAGCTTACTTTAGTAAGATAAATAAGACTCCCCTGGATCACGGCATCAGAACAACGCACCACAAACAAGGGCAGCAAAGCTGTTGTTGGTTACTTGCTGCTGGGGAGTCACAGGGAGGAGGAGAACAGCAGGCACCATGCCCTCCAAATCCATATCACCGAGGGCCCAGTGGAAAGCCATCATGAAGTGGTTGTTGAATGAATATATGAATAAGTGAGAATGCAAATATTTTTCCATTTCTTCCATTTAGTTTTATGCATGTTTATCAACAGAAATTATAGCATCGTTTGTTCCAGAGCATGTTGTTTGAAGAAGCACCTGTGATAGAATGATGTCTTCTAAGGGGCTTTATAAAGGCGGTACTTGGTATGCAGACAGAACATTAACGCTCTTCATTATTTCAACTTCTGAATTTCTCACCAATTTCAGTGGGCCTCCTGGCTTGGAAACCAACTGAACACGGCCTGGAAAGAAACCACGTTAGCATCAGCAAGTCTCTGTGCTGTCTCGGGGTCAGTGTGATGATTTTTACAAGCTCTAATTTCCTGTGTGCACTTATGTTCATGCAGAGCAGAGAAGGTTTGCCTGGCAGTGAAGAATGAGGCCAGTGTCACAGCTGTGTCAAGGACTCTGACGCCTCGCTTCTGATCTGCCTGAACTCAGGCTGTGGTTATAAACAAATACACGGCTCAAAAATTGTCACCTCCATTAAAAAGGCATGGAAATGCTGTCCTCATACCTAGAGCCACCTTCATTTGCAAGCAGTGCACTCATACTTTTCGGTTGTGATGTAGCTTTAACTATTTCAACTAAGTGATGGGCACCTTCGTTGGAAAGACCAGCTTTGCCTTAAAGGTCGTTTCCTACCTTCTTTGCCCAGTGGGCTGGGGATTTTCCTCACAATACTGTATGTTTTTTCCTTTCCATAACTAATAATTCCAGTTTGCACAAAGTGTTCTGAAGTCCTAAGAGTCACGTTTCTATTCTAAAGATCTGATGTACAAGTCAAGCTTTGGCTACTCCTTCACAGTTTTCCCACAAGCTTCCTTTAGTAAGCTGTATATTACCGTTCAGATAAACTGTGTTTTAAAAAACCACTTGCCTTATGTGATTTTGTTTTTCTGGAGCCCATGAATTCTTGAAAAAACAGACATAGTCCTAGCGTTTTCAAGGTTTATGATCTATCAGCTGCTCTTTCTGGATCTATACCATGGTCATTTTAACCCAACTTTCAACCCACAAATCTAATTCCCTCACCCCCAAGACTTTGTCTCACATTCTCAGCCAACATCTGCACCTGTCCACACACCCTCTCCTACACGCTCTGGATCTAGCTGTTAATTTTCTCTGTGCAAGCACTTTAACTGTTGAGAAAGCAAAACCTTGCCCTTGAGTGACCACAAATTTCCTCTCTTTACTTTCTCTTATGATGATCAGCATCTTTTATTTTTTAATTGTGGTTAAAAAAAAACCTCACATGCATAACATGAAATTTACCATCTTAAGCATTTCAGTGTGTAGTTCAGTAGGGTTAAATATATTCATATTATTGTACAGCAGATAACAACAACTTCTATCTTGTAAAGCTGACACTCTGTATCCGCTAAACAAATCATCATTCTCCCCCTCCCCAGCTCCTGGCAAACACCATTCTACTTTCTGTTTCCCAAATTTGACTACTTTAGGTCCCCCATATAAATGGAATCATACAGCATTGGATTTTGTGTGTGTGTGTGTGTGTGTGTGTGTGTGTGTGTGTGTGTGTGTGTGGTACAGGGGAACAGGGGATCAAACTCCGGTCCTTGTGCTTGCGAGGCAGGCAGCGGAACCACTGAGCTAAACCCCAGCCCCAGCATTGCATTTTTTCTTTTTTTTTTTTTTGAGATTTGTTTAGCATAATATCCTCAAGGTGTATCTTATTTTAGCACATGACTGGATTTCCTTCCTTTTTTAAGGTGGAGTAAAATTCCATTGTGTATTGTACGATGTCCATCAGTGTGACAAAATATCCAAAAAAAATAAGCTTAAAGGAAAAAGGGTTTATTTAACTCACTGTTTGGGGGTTTCACTCCATAATCATTTGACCCTCTTGCTTTGGAGCTGTGGTGACACCGTATATTGTGGTCGGGTACATGGTAGGAGAGTTCTGGCCCCTCATGGTGACCAGGAAAGAGAGAAGGAAGGGGCCCCGGGCACAGTGTCTCTGTCACCAGCACAACACCAGTGACCTAATTCCTTCTGCTCGGCCCTGCTCCCTACGGGTCCTACCACCTCCCTTGAGCGCATAGGCTGGGGCACATGCATTGATCAGATCTTGTTTTCCATTCTTCCACGATGAGCGCGAGGTGGCTCCCAACTACTGATTTGACTCTCCAACTACTGGGAGCACGGCTGTGTGAATACCCTTCAGGCATTGCTCTGAATTCCTTTGGATCCATACCCCAGCGGCAGAGTTCTGTTCACCATCATCTATTCCTTCACACTCGGTGCCGTTTTCACTTCCTGTATTGTCTGTTCACTTGCTTCGTCTACCATTGTCTGCCTTCATCCCACCTCCCTCTCTTATCGCCTACTGTAGGCCCCAGAGGGTGATCCTCTCAGCTTCCTGTCCCTCCTCTTCCATGTTCAGCCAGATCCACTCACGCTTACCCTTCCTTCCATCCGCCGCTTCTTACAGACCACACGGTGCTCATCCCATTCAGTCCCTTCTGCTACATTGCTCCACCAGTTACATCTCTCCTGCCACTGGCTCTTGCTTCCCTCTACAACATCGTCAACCCAGGGCCCATTCAGGTGCAAGTGACAGAAATCCATTCCACCCTGGCTTATGTCACACACAGAGTTTATTAGATCACATAACTGAAAAAGCCAAGGGTATAGTGGGCTTTTGTCAAAACAGGAGCTAAATGTTCAAGTGGTGACCTCAGGAATCTGCCCTATCCCCCATGCTGTTTTCCTTTGCTGGTTTCATTCCTCAGCATACACTCCCCCCAAGCTGGCAAAATATGTGCTGACAATGCTAAGCCTATATCCAATTAGCTTAGTGTTCTAGTACAAAGGGCTCATCTTGTCGGAAGTCCATTCCCTGACTCTGATTTGCTCAAATTGGGTTACGTGCCACCAAATGAACCAGTAACTGGGTCCAAGGCAGTGAATTAAGCAGATGGCAAGGACTGAGATGCCTGCTCAGCTCTGGAGCTTTGGGTAGAGCTGATCTACCCCAGTGGTTCTCAGGAAGCAGTTTTAACCCCAGAGGACATCTGGCAGCATGGGAACTCATGTTTTGGTTGTTACAACTGGAGAAGTGGTGCTACAGCATCAAGCGAGGAAAAGGCCAGAAACATGGATAGTACAGCCCCCAGATGCTGAGTAGTACAGTCCCTCAGAAACTGAATAGTATAGCCCCCCATAAAAATTTCATACAAAAACTCCATTGGATTGAGGTTAAAGTCCTATAGTCTCCTGGAACCACATGGCACCAAGGGAGTGAGTAGATTTCCCAATGGAAAAATCTGGAGGCAAATTCTAGAAGGGACTTATTCAAAGTGACAGAAATTCATCGTGCTCTCAGTGATGGCCAAGTTGTCTGCTTGACTGGACTGAGAGACTGGATATGTGACTGGAAGGGGGTAGCTATCCTTACCATCACTGGACCCACTGATGTGCGCAGCGGCATGGGAGTTAGGAAATGGGGCCCAGCAGGAAGGCTCTGAGGCTATTCCTTTGGAAGGCGTATCTCTTGGTGGATTTCTTTTCCTGAGCTCTACTTCCTGGTCCCCAGCAGTGAGCTGTTTTCCTGTACCATGTATTTCCTCTATGACGTCCTACATAGGAACCAAGCCCTGCACCTCTGAAATGTGAGGTGCAGTAAATCTCTCCTTTAATGTTGGGTGCCAAGTATTTTATACCAGCTGACTGTCCGATCCCAGGAAAGCTGACTAATATACCCTCCACCCGAAAACAAATACTTCCCAGACTGTCCATCTCTGTTCTCTTTACTACGGTACTTTCTGAATAAGTTGTTGGCTTTAACCATCTCAACCCTTTGAGTCATTCATTCAGTAAGTAAATATGGAAACCCTTCTGTGTGCTGATCCCTGTTTTAAGTCATGGGATATATCCATGATAGGTTTAATTTAGAGGAAAAGAAAAACAAACACATCATATGTAATAAAATTAAAAATAAGCATCACTTTTCAAATGATATAAGCAAGGAAAGAGGGTAGAATGTTCAGAATGGATGTGTTACCATGAGAGGGGTGGTATAATCCAGCCTCTTCTGTACCACGAGGACAGAACTGCCAAGTGTACACCCAGAAGCAAGTGACAAGCAGCTCTGTTTAGTGATGATCATGGGAAGCTGTGCTCAGGGCAAGTCTGTGCTGACAAAAGGTGAGGCAAAGACAGGAAAAGGTGTCAGGTGACAGAAAAGTAAAATCACTGTGCACAGGTCATGACACCAGAAACAGCAATGCACATGTATAACATCAGGCTCCCAAAATGTAAAGGACTTGCAGCCCAAGCACCTCCCCCTGAATCTCTAGGTGTGACTGACAACAATGAATGGCAGGTGCTGTGTTATCTCAAGGAGTTCTCAACACCCACGCTTGCCCCAGAATCCACTCTGATCTTATTTACCTTTATGACACCTGATAATGACGTATTTATGAATACATAATGAGGTGGGAGCAGGTCAGGATAGGAGATCCAACATGCATGTGCTCTTACCTAGAGCGTCAGAGATCTCCTGTTTTGTTTTTTTTTCTATCCCTCTTAGGACTATGGAAGGAGGAATAACTGTAGGGTACCATTTAGAATCAAATGGAGAGGCCGGGGATTTGGCTCAGTGATTCCACCACCTTCCCCACAAGCGCAAGGGCCCAAGTTCGATCACCAGTACCAAAAAGAGAAAAAAAAAAAAAAAGAAAGGGAGGGAAGGGAATAACTCTCTTAAGCCCATTGTTTCTGACTGTACTATTCCTCTCTGAGAGTCCTAATCTCCAGAAATCTTTAAGAGGTGTTAGAGGAAGTCCTGTCTTCTATGGCTACTTCTGGCTGAATTATGGGTGTTGGCCCTACCTATGTGGAGACCAAGGTACCCTCACCTGATTGATCTATATGACCCCACCCCTTTGTACCCTCAGGCACTGGGGGAGGATGAGTCTGTGGGGCATGGAGAGCACAGAGAGGACATGCCTTACAGACCTGGGTTGCAATGTTTTGGACTCCAGGCCCTGCAAAGAGCCTGTCTGCCATAGCAGTGGTGATGTTTCACCCTAGGTGGAAGGCTTCATGTAGGGACTTAATGACTTTCTACTGCACTTGTATGGAGAACAGTTGGTTTCCCCATACCAGCACTGGCCCTCTTGAAAACCTCCTTCCTTTCAAATCATTTGAAGTTATTCTATAGAGTACTCTGGTTCTAAGTCAAGATCCTGTAGTAGGACCATGGGTAGAGCTATTGACGGGCCAGAATTATACAGGAGAGCAGCCTGTTTGGCAGTGGAATATGTTTTAGAATTTTCCTGGGAGACAGGGGCCAAGAAAGCCAGATATATCCAGCAATGGACAATTGTTATCTTATTTGGGAGATTTAATCACTTGAGGAGGTTGAGGTTTTCTGGTCCAAGTTTTACTGGAGACTGGTGACTAGTCAAAAGCCTTCTTTTCTGCTAGATGGCAGTATGTACACGTAAGACCCAAAACGTGCACTTGGAATATATACACACATATACGGCTAAGATCAAGTGTTATAAATATATGTATATATATATTTTTTTCTTGCCCTGGGCAAGTTGGATAGCCTGAGTGAAGGCAGTGGATTCTGTCTTTTGGGCAGAAGTCCTAGGAGAGAGTCCTTTTGCTTCAATGACCTGGCTAGGGCTAACTATGATATCCTAATGCCATCTTTTAGAAAATGCTGCCATCAGTGAACCATGTGCTAGCAGTGGGGGTAGCTAGTATAATTCTGGCTAACATCTATTCACACTCATGTTTTATCTGTTGGTTAGCTGGGAGGAGGGTGACTGGGTTTAAAATAGTGCAAGAGTGAAAAGAAACATCCGGATTTTCAATAAGAATGACATATTTAGTGAGCCTTTCTCTAGCCATCCACAAATGTCCCTGATATAATAACAGAGCCTTGTCTATAAGTAGGGTTAGAACTAAAAGTTTTCATTACAGAGTTATCTTAGGAGCTTCTTGGACTAAGAGGTGTCATAGCAGCTATCGCTCACAGGCAGCTGGGGCAGCCCTGTGTCACTCCATCTGGTCACTTGGAAAAGTAGGCAACTGGTCAGCTGTCCTGCCACAGACATTGAGTTAAAACTTCTGTGGCTACTCCCTGTTTCTTAGCCATGAATGGAGAAAAAGGCTTAGTTAGGGCTGGAATTCCCAATGATGTGGCCTGCATCAGGCCCATTTTAGGGTTTTAAAAGACCCTAGAGGGGCAGCTGTCCATTTCAAGCATTCAGTTTCTGATTCTCAAGAAACCTCTAGCAGGAGTTTGCGTATTACTCCACAATAGGATATCCATATGCAGCAAAAGACTGATATTCACAAGAAAGCCCTCAGCTGTTGTTTAGATTCTGGAGCACCTGGACAGAAAATTGCCTCTGTTCTCCTTGGGGACCGTTATTATGGTCCTGGAGTTAAAATATATCCCAGATATGTCACTTTTTGTTCAGAAATCTAGGCCTTATGTTGGGACACCTTGTAATCCCTTTCTGTTTAAAAAAAAAAATTAAGAGTTCTAATGGTGTTTTTGTCAGATAACCCCTTAGTGAGGCTACAAATGAGGAGGTCATCTATGTACTGTACTAGGTCTCCATTCTTGAACTTTAAATCTCTCAGGTTGTGAGCTAAAATCCTGTAAACAAGTGGAAGCTGTCTCTAAAAGGCTGAGGCAAGACAGTCCAAGTATACTGTTGGTAAGATTTTGTTTGAGGATCCTCCCACTCAAAGCCATGCAAGTATTGGGAGTTATGTTCAACAAGGATAGAGAAGAAGGCATCTCTGAGATCAAAGGCAGACAACCATTTAGCTGCTTCTGGGATCTGCACTAAAGTGTATGTGTGTGTGTCTGTTACTAATGGGTGAATAGTCCAATTTATCCAGTGCCTCCCTGATGGCTCTGAGATCTTGTACTAGGTGATTGCCTCCTGCTGGCTTCACTATTATTAAAATGGGCATATTGCACAGAACCAGCAAGCCTACAGCCAAAAGTTTCTCAGTAACAGGGTCTTCTTAAGGTAAGTAATACTGTCTTCTGTCAGGTTATAGATTAGGAGCCTTCAGCTGAATGACTGCTGGAGTGGCCTAGACAGCCTTTCCAGAGTGCTGTCAAGACCTGGCAGACATCAGGCCAGATCAGGCTGACCAGGTCCCTAGCAACTAGGACACAGGTTGGCTGTGGTTCGACTGTCAGAGTGGCCTTGAGTAGGGATAGTATCTCTCTTCCAATAATGGGTATGGTGTGCCAATGCCCACATGGCTGAAGGGTTCATGGAGTGCGAAATGATGATAGGAGATTAAGAAAAGGTAAAGAAAGAAAGATACAAAAGGACAAAGAGAAACAAAGGTGGGCCAGGTGGGGCTCTAACTCCTGATGGAAGAAAAAGCCCCCCAGGCAACTGCAGAGTTTATTTACAGTGGTGGAGATAAGGGAAGCACAGGGAGAGGTGGAAGGGGCCAGTCTGAAACATGAGCCAGGGGAGTAGCTAAGGCCTGCAGGGCATCATACTTGATGGTTATATGGGGAATGGGCAGAGAGGAAGACAGTTCCCTTCTTGGCCAGGCCTTGCTCCACCGCACCCTCTTTGTCTCCCGTTCTCTTCCCGAGGGACTCTACCTCATCCTTGGGAGGAAATGAACAAGATGTGTCTTCCTCGTTCCATGTGGGGCCCTGCCTCATCTTTGGCAGCAGGCCAATAGGCCTGGCCATAGTGATGTACAGCCTAGCACTCCAATCAATGGGCCACCTCAGTATCTCTAAAAAGACTGCTTGGAGAAGGAAATTTCCCAAATAGCGGTTCAGAGTAGGTTAAAGCATGCTGACTGGCTAGCTCCTTCCAAGCCCCCAGCAACTTTGGAGTGGAATGAAAGCTCACACCGATAGTGGAAACCAGAATTGAATAAGTCATCCCAGTATCACAGAGAAATATAATTTTCCTGCTGCATGTGAAGCCACCCAAGGCTTCTGCAAATTGACTGGAATATTCTTGTGTGGTGCCTTGCAGGCATGTCCTCCCCGGCCCCCATGGTGAACAGAGGCAGTCTCTCCTCCAATGCTGCAGGCCTTCTTCCATGTTCTGACAGGCTGGACAAGCATTTCTGGGGATGTTCCTTTGCTCAGTGCCCTGATTACTTGCACCGGAAGCACTCTGCGTGTTTCTGTTAGCACTGCAGGCTCTGGCCAGGGCCGTATCAGAGGGCGAGCTTGGTTTCAGTCTGCCTCTTTTTCTTATTCAACTCTCTTTTGTCCTCTGCTGCATCGTGATTATTAAAGACTGACTAAGGGACATAACCAGCTGACTGCTTGTGGTTTGTGGGCCCTGTTGGAGTTTCTAGAGCTTTTTCCTAATATTTGGAGCTGAGAGCTGATCAACTAATAAAATACTGCCTCAGGTCATCTGACCTTCTGTAGACTCAGGGCTTAAATTAGTATATTTATGGAGTGCTTCTTCAAGCTGGAACTGAAAAGCCACTGGGTTCTCACTAGGGCCTTGGTTAACAGACCTTGTCAGACTTCACAGGTTTGGGCAACCTTTGTCGCATACCCACTAAGATGCTTTTGATGTCTAACTTTTGTTTGGTTTCTCTGCCCCTGTGTTATGATCCCATTTAAGTACCTCTTGGGACCTTAATGAAGGAGCAGTTGGCTCATGATCAGCAGGGGAAGCCATGAAGGCCTCATCATTAATCTGTTTTGCAGCCCTTATAGTCCTTTCCCTTTCTCCTGCTATGCAACAAGAAACCAAGATGAACTGGACATCTGTCTCTTTGAAGTCAGATCAGAAGCCGCTGTGAGAGTGTGGAAACCATCAGCAAACTTTCCAAGATCTTCAGGGAATCCACCTAGTTTTTACTTGCACTACTGAAGGGCCATAGCTGAAAAACCTGTGAGAGGGCCTTTAAACAGTCAGGAGGCCTCAGTGATGCATATCCCAAAGTGGGTTTTGTGGACAGGAGTTGTGGGCAACCTAACCCCTGAGTCAGTCTCAAGCCATTAGTGGGGACGTCTCTTGATGTGAGGTTGTGGGACCCTAACAGGCCTATACTTGACCCACTGCAGATATTCCTTATTTGGCGACCAGCCTGTATAACAATTGTTCCATCTGATGACCCCTGCTCAGACTTACGATGCAGGAACCTGAGCGGCAGTGTGGTCTTATGGTTTCTTCTTCTTCTGCAGCACAGCACTGTAAGTTTTGCTGGTTGTGCTATGCTATAGTTTTGTGTTCTGTTGTACACTGCAGAAAAAGCAGAGTCATCAGGTTGGAGTTTCCTCTGACTAGTTCTTTGTCCTGAATATTGCAGTGTACGTCCTATGTACAATTCACTTGGTGCCCAATTCATTTAATGATCTGGTTGCAGGAAAAAGCAGTCATTAAACAAGGAAAGTCTGTAGTCACACTGACAGGGCATGAGCTGACAGTTTCGAAGACTCAGCCCCAGGGCCATGGCCTGGTGAGGCTGAATTTCTCGGGATTAGGTCCTAGAAGGCTTCTTGAGCCTTTTCCTGAGTTTGAACCAACAGCATCCTCTAGATCATCTGTAACCCATTTCAGCTTTCATCAGAGCACCCCTGATAAAATGGAAAGCCCTGGAGGCTGGCCATCTCCAGCCCTGTGTGGGCTTTGCACCACTTTTCCTTCTGAACCTTAGAGTCTCCCCTAGGTCCACAGAGTTCAGACAGAGTCCAAAAATGGGGTGCTTTATTGGCTGGATGCCTCTTAACCAATTCTAAAACCACTCCTGATATCCTGTTTAGAGATGGGTAGCAATCGTCTTGCTCAACAGAACCCCAATCCCCAATAAGTCCCACGGATGTGGCTCTCAGTGCCTTCTGACTAAGAAATAAGCACATTCATAGATGATACCCCAGTGACTGGCAGACTAAGAACAAGGAATACAAATCACTCCAGAAAAACTTCATCTCACTAGATCAACCTTTGTCATCTGTTGACAGAGTCTCTAAATGAAATCTAGGCGAGGTTTAAATTCAGTCAGCATAAGCAGGTTACAGATCCTTTTGAATAGGGGCATAAATTAAAGCCGCCATTATCACCACAAAAGCAAAAACAAGTAAAAAGGAGAGAAAAACCAGCCTTAGAGGAGAAACCCAGGCTTTAGGACCCAGAAGAATCGGCTCAGCCAGAGCGACTCTGGGCAGAAGCGAGAGTTTAAAAAGGACAAAAGTTACTGTTTGGGCATGAGAAACACTACACTTCTCAACTTGTTTCCCAGAGTTGCTCAGAACAAAAAACCAAATAATTTGAATACTTTGATAGATGAAAGCCTGACGGAAGGGACTCAGAAGGCCCTGAGAGAGACAAGGGAAGTCACCCAGGAAGAGCGCTCCCTGTGATACTAACAGGTGGCCGCCCAAGCCCAGGGCCTGCTGCCAAGCTCTCTACAAAGCACAGCAACATTTCCGCCAGGTGGGGGCCCATGTCACCCGGTCTGCTGCTTTGGGTGGCTATACCAAAGCCGTGGCACTCACCTGCCAGTGGCCTCCAATCTGCTGGGGTCACAGCTGCTGACCCACGTTTCTCGGACCAACAACAAAATACAGGCCCAACCCATCCACAGGGCTCCTCCTACCTAACTCGAAGGCAGAGCCTGTCACCCCACTACTAGGTATCTCCAAACGATGACACAGGGTCAGTGCTTAGCTAGGAAATCCATCCCAGCTGCCTGTAAAACGGAAAGAGAGAGGGTCTCCCGACAGAGCTGGGGGTTTTCTTTCTTTCTTTCCTGACTGACTTCTTCCGGCTGCTGGCTGGTGATGTCTGCCAACCTCAGACCCTCAGATAAGGGATGTGAACAGTGCCAGTGTACTTACAGGTGACACGCAGGCTTTATGTACCAAATACGGGTGCTTGGGTAGAATGATGAGAGAAGAGTCTGGAAGTTCTCTTTGATTGCTTGTGTTTTCTTAGTGATGAAAGCTATAGAGACTAAGAATGATGTCGGAGTTCAAAGTTCGATCAAATCAAAATGAAAATATGAAATGGTTACCTAAGAGAGTTCAATCAAGGTTCAGTAAAAATAAGGGATAGTTGTTTAGGAACAGTGGAAGAATAAATGGGCCAAGTAACAAGGGGAATACCGGGACAAATTACAACGGTCCGTTTGAAATGAGCTGTCGTGAAAATAAGACCAGTCGTTGCCAATACGTCTTTTTTTCCCAGCCACATTCGGCTTCATGGAGAACTGAATCTAGCCAGAGTTGTTGCTTTGTCCACTGAACATTAAAAAGTGAAAGAATGGCCAGCCAGGGCCCCGAGGGTTAAGGCGACAAGGTGATTACTACCATAGAGCGTAGAATTTCCCCTTGTAAGGCTGGGGGTGAGGGGTGGAAGAAGAGGTCAGGCAGTGAGCTGGAGGTGGTGAGAGAGACACAGGTGTGGGAGTCAGGGCGGGAGGGGGCGAGGACAGGGTTAGCAAGAGAGAACGGGACAGTGAAGGCACAGAGAGACTGCAGTGTGATAGGTGTGATGGATGTGGGGGTGGACATGCAGGTCACTGTCAGCAGACGGTGCAGGGCGAGTTACTGGAAATTACACTGCTGTGAGTGTCGGAATCACCATGGAGCAGTCGTGGAACAGGTGGACACGAGGAACGGAACACAGCAGATGGCAGGAGATGAGTCCAAAGGGAAGAGGCAGCGAGCGCCTCTTCTGATTGCACCTGATGTAAACCTGGGGAACTGAACTCCTATTCCCTTGTCCACAGCCTACTTCAAGTGGCCTGCTGCTTCTACCACTGTATTGGGAATATCTGAAAGGATATCAGCTCCTTGAAAGAATAGCATCAGATGTATTCAAAAGGAAGTGTGCCAGGCATGGTAGCGCACACCTGTAATCCCAGCACTCGGGAGGCTGAGGCAGGAGGATCACTGTGAGTTCGAGACCAGCCTGGGCTACATAGTGAGTTCCAGGTCAGTCTCGACTACATAGTGAGACCCTGTCTCCAAAAACCAAAAACCAAAACAAAACAAAACAAAAAAGGAAGTGTGATGAGTGGCAGGATCAAAGTAGTTATTTCTTCCGAGAGAGTCTTGGAAGAGAACCTAATGAAAAATAAGAAAAACCTGGGATACAGGAGGGAGAGAAGGGGAAATAAAAAGAATTAAGATGTGATGCGTATATGTACCAGTTCCCCATAATAAATGTATTCATTGTATGTCACAACCATGTAATTTTAAAAACTAGAAAAAAATCAATACTTAAAAAAGAAAAAACAATAAATATATTAAGCTTTTAGAATACTACCGTTTCTCAGCTAGTGAGGGGAGGGGGCTACGCTGGCAAGAAAAGTAAGATGGCATAAGGCAGTATCCAGACACGTTTGTGGGAGCTAAGGTTTTGCATCCCATTGATGCGGGCTTCCTTGACCACATACATTTGGGTCCACAGTGAGTGAAAAGGGAAGTTTTACCACGAGCATTTTAGTCCACTCTGAGTCACAGGTGTGCACACAGAAGAAAACTGCTAATGCATTTACTGAATTTTCTGCTCTAATATCTTTGCAGCTCTCACCTACTCCCTCTTCATAGCATTTTGATACTTGGAGTTCCCCCAGTTTCCACTCATTCTAACCCCCTTGTTCAGAACAACGGCCTGGCTTCTCCCAGTGAGTATATTCAAGGTTCTTGTCTTAGGTGCTGCAGATCTCCAGAGGTCCATGATTAGAGCTGTACTTTAATATAATATATATACTTTTCTCTGGACTTCTAGGTGTTTTACTCTGTGCATTAGAATATTAATCCTAAGGAGGGTTGCAGAAGCTTAGGCAGTGAGGCAGAGGTACAACTGGGGCACAAAGAGGTTAAGAACACCATTTGAATGTGGCTCCTTTGTTTCCATTCTAATCTCTGTTTAAACAATATGTTCTTCCTTGAGGATCTCATCTGTTTCTGTGATTTTGAGAATCTCTCATTCATTCTCTTGTTTGAAAGTCCTTCTGGTGTATATTTCTGGAAATCCAACCTCATAATCAACAAATTACCTATATTTTCTGCTTTTTCTTAAATATTCCTACAGCTCCTGGCCTCCATTATACCCCATACCCAAGTCCCTCTCCATTTATAAATTAAAACAAAACAAAACCTTGGATGTTCTTCCTCGATGAAACTGCCCTTCACCTCCCACTAGTTTCCTATTTCTTCTGAGGCAAATTATGACCTGTGGCTTAAAAAACACAAATTTTTTCTTCTATAATTCCAGAAGTCAGAAGTCCAAATAAGTTTTACAGGGTGAAAACCAATTGCAAGATGTACTGATTCATTTTGAGAGCCCTAGGGAAGAACCTCTTTCTTGCCTCTTCCAGCATCTAGAGGCAGCTGGCCTTTCTTGGTTCAAGGTGATAACGCTCAGGTCTCTACTGCTGTTAGGGTTAGGAGTAAGTGTGCCTCCAAAGCCTTATGTGATCATAGGTGCAGCTTTTTGGAGATCACTAGATCTAGGCTCTGTGAATACAGATTAATAGTATGAGATATCTAAGTCCACTGATCGGTTTAGCATGGTTCTGGGTGTGGATAATGGGAAAGCCCACTCTAAGTATGAGTGGCAAAATCCAACAGGCTTTAGTCTGAATGAGGTAAAATGCAAAGGAAAGCTTGCTGTGCTGCTGACTGCTTCCTGCCTGCCCTGCCGTAGACTGTTTCTCCTCTGCCACGTGGCCCTGCCTCGGAGCCAGCTGACTATGGACGGAAATCACCACAAACTGAGCCAAAATAAACATTTCCTCTTTAGAGGTGTTGGTGTTAGGTGGTGTGTCTCAGGGATGAGAAAGAAAGACAAATGCCTTCCTCTTATAAGGATCCCCGTGATCACATCAAGCTTACCTGGATAATCCAATCTCTCCATCCTTGTTTTAATCACATCTTTTAAGTCTTTTTTTTTTTTTTTTTTTTTTTGCTGTAAAAGTTAACACAGATTCTGGGGATGGGATGTGGACATCTTTGGGAGGACATTATTTAGCCTATCACACACCCAGCCTTAACCATTAAATCTCACTTGGACCACAGCAAAGCCTCCTTATTTCCCCCCTCCCCATTGTAACAGGGACAAGCCTAAGATAATGAGAAACTAGCCCACTAGGCTAAGAGCTAATTCAAGCATAGAGCCACATGTAGAAACGTAAAGGAAAACACAATAAACTTGAAAAAAATTAGAGCACCCAAAATAAAAAAAATCCAATCAAAAAATGGGCCACTGAAAGGAACAGACACTGCTCAGAGGAAGATGTACAAACAGCCAACAAACATATGAAAAAATGTTCAACGTCTTTGGTCACTACAGAAATACACATTAAAACAATGCAAAGACTCCATTTTACACCCGAAAGAATGGCAGTGGTCAAAAAGTCAAAGAGTAACAAAAGCTGCCATGGCTGCGGTGAAAAAAAACCTACGTTTCTGGAGGGAAAGTGAACTAGCACAACCATCGTGGAAATCAGCACAGAGATTTCGCAAAGGACTAAAAGAAATTCTGTATGACTCAGCTATCCCTTTTCTAGGGACCTTCTCCAAAGAGCTACAAGATCTCACCACAGTGATATGTGCATGATCTCATTTATAGCAGCACAATTGGTAATAGCCAAACCCTAGAGCCTACCTGTATATCCAGCAATGGTTGACTGGATAAAGCAAATGTGGTCTCCGTACATAATGGAATATTATTTGACTATAAAGAAGGGAAATGTGAGACATTTGTAGGAAAATGGGTACACCCGGAAAGTATCATGTTGGGTGAAATAAACCAGACACAATTAGCTTCAATATCGTATTGTAGCTCTCACTTGAGTAAGGCTCAGTACAAAGAGCACAAGGAAGGATGGACAGAAGGAGACAAGCGAGTGTATCTCTGAAAATGGGGAGGGACCCAAGAGAAGGAGGGTAAGAAGAAAGGGAGAAGGGGTGGGGAATGAGGGCAGTGCACATACGCCACACACAGGAACCAAATAGCCTAAGCGAATGCGTGTATTACAGGTCACAAGCACGAGGTAAGACTGATCTTACCAACAGAATGAAAATGGGGACAGGACATCAGAATAGGAGAGAGGAGGTGAGAGGAAAGGGTGTTTAAAAAAAGAATCAAGGGCTGGGGATTTGGCTCAGTGGTTCAGCCATCTGCTTCGCAAGCCAGGGGCCTGAGTTCGATCCCCGGTACCAAAAACAAAGCAGAACTGTATAAAAAAGAATCAAGCTGCATTATGTGCTCGTACCTACTCCCCAAGATGAGTGTCAACTGCACGTACTACAAACGTATAATAATAAAAGTGTAAAAAAAAAAAAAAGGATGGAAGTTTAAACAAGAGGGGTAAGGACAGCCCCTCCCAGGAAGAGGGTATGCTAAGTTGATTGACAGCTCCTCCCTAACCTCTGGCTGGGCTTGGAAAACAGATATTCAGAGAAAGTGGTTTTCTTTGAGCTCAGCTTCCTGTGAAGCCACTACCCAGAAAGCCGCCTGTTTTAAACAAGTCCACGGGCTCTGCTTGCCAACATAAGGGCAAAACAAAGGAAGCAGGTTAGTTGGGCTCCTATCCCCTTTTGGTCAATATTCACCCAGAGCTTTTTTCTTCTTGCTGCTTCAAAACAAAACAAATACCATCCTAAAACTGGTTACCTGTTTGTAGAAGAATGAAACTGGACCCTTATCTCTCACCCATGCTAAATTAAAATAAAAATGGATCAAAGATCTAATCATTAAATCCAGAAACATTAAGCCTTTTAGGAGATAAAATAGATAAAACACTGGAAGACGTAGGTGTAGGGAAGGATTTTCTAGACAGAACCTCAATGGAATAAGAAATAGCAGCAAAAATCAACAAATGGATTATATCAGACTGGAAAGCTTCCGTAGAGCAAAATAATCTGTCAATAGTGGGAAGAGACAACCTAGAGAATGGGGAATTTTGCCCGTTACTCCTCAGAGTAACTGAGAACTGATATCTAGAACATGCAAAGACCTCAAAAAAAGGTGAAGACAACTAAAATTAAAGACCCTAGACAAATGAACATACAGACACTTCACAGAGGAAGAAATACCAGTGGAAAATAAATATGTGGGAAAAATGTTCGACATCTCTGGTCTTTACAGAAATGCAAACTGAAACAACACTAGGCTTCCGTCTTACCACAGAAAGGACAGCAGTCATGAGAAAGTCAAGCGATAACAAATGCCGGGGTGCCTGTGGTGAAAAATGAACCCCCCTGCGCTGTTGGTGGGAATGCAATGAGCACAGCCATTATGGAAATCAGTGTGGAGATTTCTCAAGTAACTGAAGTTAGAAATCCCATGCGTTAGGCATCTTCTCCAAAAAGCCGAAGGCGTCACACTACAGAGACACTTGCACGCCAATGTTTATAACAGCACAAGTTGTGACCGCTGAATCCTGGAAGCAGCCTGGGTACCCATTGACAATGACAGGATAAAGAAAATGTGGTATCTATAAAGTGGAATACTACTTGGCTAGAAAGAATGACACATTTGAGGCATTTGTAGGAAAATGCACGTATCTGGCAAAATACAATGTTGAGTGAAATAAGCCAGACGCACAAGCTTAAATACTGTATGCTGTCTCTCTTTTGAGTGAGGCAAAGTACAAAGAAAATGAGAAAAGATGGATAGAAGGGGACGAGGACACAGATCTTATCCAGGGGCTGGTCCAAGGGAGCGAGGAGAGGGTT